AAATATATTTTATTGATTTTTTACAGAGAGGAAGGGAGAGGGATAGAGAGTTAGAAACATCGATGAGAGAGAAACATCGATCAGCTGCCTCCTGCACATCCCCCACCGGGGATGTGCCCGAAACCCAGGTACATGCCCTTGACCGGAATCGAACCCGGGACCTTTCAATCCGAAGGCCGATGCTCTATCCACTGAGCCAAACCGGTTTCGGCCCTTTAATTTTTAAATTGCCAGCAACAGACAGTTAACTTTGTTTTTAATTATTCCAATTATATCAACTTTTCAATCACTTTAAACATCATATTTATAAAATGACTATCAAACTAGATTTTTACAAGGCCCAACTATATATTATCTACCCAAAACACCCATTTAAATTTTTAAACAGATAAAAGTGAAGAGGCAAAGAAAGATAACACTAATCAAAACAAGGCCGGAGTAGCTACATTAATTTCAGACAATGTAAACCATCAGAGCAAGGAAAATTAGGGATAAAAAGGTACATTACATAATACAGGGATCAATTCTCCAAGAACACGTAACAATCCTTAATGTGTACACACCTTGCACAGAGTGGCAAAATATGTGAGGCAAAAAGTGACAGAATTGCAAGGAGAAATCAATGAATTCACTGTTATAGAAACGTCACCACTTCCTGTCAGTAATTCACAGATCCATCAGGCATTAACTCAATAAGGACATAATTGAACTCAATACCATCAATCAGCTGGATCTGACATCCCCAGAATAGTTCATTGAACACAGCAGAATATACATTCTTCTCAAGCTCACATGGAACATTGGCCAAAACAGACCATATTCTGGGTCATAAACACCTTAAATTAAAAGAATAGAAATAATATAAAGTATGCTCTTAGATCACAGTGAAATAAAACTACTAACAGAAAAGTAGCTGAAGAATACCAAAATGCTTGAGATTAAACAACACACTTCTAAATAACATTTGAGTCAAGAAGTTTCAAGAGAAATTGAGAACTATTTTGAACTAAATGAACATGAAAATACAACTTGCCAAAACGTGGAATGCAGCAAGAACAGTGCTTAGAGGGGAATTTATAGTACTGAATGCATATAATTAAAATACGAGCTCAAATCAACAATCTAAGCCCCTAGGAAACTATAAAAAGAAGAGCAAATTAAATCCAAAATAAGCAAAAAACAAAAAGCAAAAATAAATGAAGTTGAATACAGGAAATCAATAAAGAAAACCAAAAGCCAATTCTTTGAAAAGACCAATAAAATTGATAAAATTCTAGTACAGCTAATTAAGAAAAAACTAGAGAAGAAATTATCAATGTCAGAAATGAATGAAGGACCGTCACTACTGATTCTATAGACATTAAAAGGATAATAAAGGAATAGTACTACAAACAACTCTGCCCATACGTATGATAACATAGAAGAAATGGATCAATTATTTGAAAGACATAATCTACAGAAGTAGAAACCCCACAGAAGTAGATCATTTGAATAAATCTATATATAAAGAAATGGAATCAATAATTAATAATCTATGAAAACAGCACCAGGCCAGATGGGTTCACTGATGAATTCTATCAAACATTTAAGACATTCTACCAACTCTACAGTGTTTTCCAGAAAATAGCAGAAAAGGGAATTTTCTAATTCTATGAGGCCAAGCATTACCCTAATTCAAAAACCAAAGACATTACAAGAAAGGAAAACTAAACCAGTATCTCGGGTGAACATAGATGCAAAGATCTTCAATAAAATATTAGTAAATGGAATCAAACACTGTATAAATGAATTACATACCACCACCAAGTAGGACTTATTTCAGTTAAGCAAAGCTGGTTTAACCTTACAAAAGCAATTAATGTAATCCACATTAATCAGCTAAAGAAGAAAAATATCAATAGATATAGAAAAAGCATTTGACAAAAACCCAATAGCCATTCATTACAAAAACTCAACAACTAGGAATAGAGATGAGCTTCCTCAACTTGATAAACAACACCTACCAAAAAATGATTGCTAGCATCATACTTAGTGGTGAGAAAGTAGATGCTTTTTTGGTAAGGTCAGGAACAGTGAAAGGATGTCCCCTTAACTCCTATTCAACATCAAACTGGAACTCCTGGCTAATACAATCTTATCTAATAATATACATGTAAATTGACCGTCCCTCCCCTATGCTCACCAGCCAATCAGGAGAGTATGCAAATAACCCAACAAAGATGGTGGTTAATTTGCATATGCAGGTGAGGAGCAAAGACTGAAGACTGAAGAGGCTTGGCTTCTCCACTGTGGCAGGACCAAAGACCTGGGTCCCGGGTGCCGGAGGAAAACCGGTGCCAGCAGCCAGGGGAAGGAAGGCCTATTGCACGAATCTCTTTGTGCAACAGACCTCTAGTATAAATATAAAAATCTATATTACCTAAAATTTGTGTGTGGGGGGGGGGGGGCTTCCCCTATGTACAAA